TACTACCTTGAAGATGATTGAACACGCCATCACTCTCCAAAGAGCGAAGGCTATCCTCGTCCCCAGACGTGAGAGCAAAGGTGAATATGTCGCTAATATTAACCAGGCCGTGGTACTTTTGCAGGATCAGTTTAACAATTGCCTGATTCCCCACCTTCGTTGCTGTTCGAAGAGCTTCGCCTAGAGATGGCGTATACGGGAATAGGAGTTCTGTTAGTTCATCGTATCCACGCCTCATGGCTTCTTCTAAGGCCTCGGCGATGTGCAGAGGAAATTGATGTGGATACTGAGCTTTGCCTAATTTAAGGCATTGATTCATGATGAGATGAAAAGTTTCCGTCGCATTTTGTTTGTCAAGGTTCATAACGATTATTCTTAGTAAGCCCTTGTGCGAAATAATCATATGGGGTGAGTGAGAGGCGAGATCTTTGAGAAAGCGAATTGCAAGTTGCGTGTCGGTAAACCATAACGCTCGTTCGATCGTACCAGTTGATATAGTCGCTTTAGCTTCTAATAAAGCATTGACTGACTGTAAAAAGCCACCGTCAAGTGCCACTTTAATGCCGTATTTGTGTCTGCCTTCAATCAAGAGGTATAGAGAATTGAAGTGATAGGCTCTTGGGAAGGATTTATTCACATCGACCTTTCGGTTAATAAGAAGCTGAAGAACTTTGAATGAGTCCTTGATTGCGGCGTACTCAAGTGGTGTATACCTTTCTCCATTGTAATGGCACACGGCGTTATCCACATCAACTAGTCGAAAGGACAGCAAAAGTTTTACTGCCTCGACATTGTCGGCTTCTATATATGCCAGGAAAGCCTTTTCGACGAATGATTTAGTCAAGGGGCCCGATTGAGCAGTAGAAAGATTGAGTACCACTTGTTGCATGGCAGGGTGTCTACTCAAGAACTTTAGAATACCAGCTGCTGGTATTTCCGGGAGGCCTGCAAATGCATTGATGACGGATGCGATTAACCTGCCATCAAACCGAGCTTCAAATGAGATGTCGTCGGATAGCTTGCTAAGCTGGCTCCACTCCTCGCCGACGAATGTCTCCGGAGAAGTAAGGCTATCGGGAACCGGATTGGGCCTCAACCATCTGGAAGTTTCGGTTATAACATTCGAGAATTTAAAGAGAAACTCGGAATCCCTCGTCTCCGTCAGGGCGCTAGAGGCAGGAGTGGTAGGCGATCTGATATAGGCGCCTGTAAAATTGGGAGTGTTCAGTTCAAACGGCTTGATCGATCTATACAGCTAATTTCAGTCTAGACTTACTTTGAATAAAGGCGGCTACAAGCGGAGAAGAAGGTAGCGGGTGTCGCAACCAGTCATCTCGACTAGACGGCACCACAGTAGATGGTTCGGAAGGGGTTGATCTAGCACGGGATGGGTCCCTGGTAGGGAATTGGCCTACTGGTGAGAGATCGAAGGAGAAGCCGGTGGGCAGGGAATCGAAAATATTCCACTGGATGTCGTTAGGATCCTGTAGCGCACGGGAACCATTAAATAAGTTTGCCATGGATTTATCGTCGCTGGTATCCCAACCGTCAGTTATGAAAAGTTCCATCTCCTGATTTGATGCGATCTGTTCGACGTCCGCTTCGGTGATTGAAAAGCCCCCCTCAAATCCTAGCCTAGGAATATTTATATTCTCAGTCTGAGTTACCCTGTCAAAATGACGTGAAACTAGGCTTAGTTAGTTCCTGGAAGGTTATATTAGTTATCAATGGCTTTATGTACCTGATTCTTCCTCCTGGTGCGTCCTAGATAATAAGAGATCTCGGGCTCTCTGCGGCCTCCCTCCTGATATCGTCCGGTCGTTACCATGAATTACATCTCCTCCCTGATTTACCCCACGGGCGATCCTTGTCCGCCCGGATTGAACTTTATTTTTTCGCACCCCCCATTTTCGGAATTGGTGTTCGTATTGCGGAACTCTTGTTAGGCATTAATGAAGCTATCCCACAACTCAAATGGGTAATTGAAAAAAATATCTGGAGATACTTACGAAGCGGCGAAGCCTTCATTCCTCATCATTTCAATGACGCCTTTGGGGCCATTAAGCGTACGCCTTAAAGTAATGTATAGCTCGACAATCCGAGCCTTGCGTCCCTCCCATTCTTCATTTGAAATACGTCGCGTGCCATCCGAACGAGGCATCGTATATGGGACGTAGAGGAAGGCCTAGTGTAAATTAGGAATTTCAAGGTGATGTTGGCCTTGGATGCAGTGTAGATCACCAGCAGCATACTATTATCAGGTACCAAGATTTGAAAGTATCGGCTGGCATGTAATTTTGGATTTTCAAATGAATGTTGCCAAGAGGCTATACAAACGCAGCTCTGAATAAACTAGACTGGGAGAAGACGGAAACCCCTTTTGAAAGAGCTGCGACCCTACAGCTATATACACATAACGCTACGGCATAGTCGGCGGTCAGCAGGCAGACATCTTGCTTATTGAGTAAAATAATTGGTATTGGTGGCATATGGGGCTATGATCCTGCATAGGATCAAATATTTATTTCAGGTCCAATCAGGTTCTGCCACCATCAGGTTATGCCGCCATCAGGTTCTGCCGTCAGCTTTTGTGGTCAGGTTTGTGCAGTACACAGTATCAGCATACAGTGTCGGGTTCTAATGTAGGATTTAGACAATAGAGCAAGGAATCAGATAGTATACTTTCAAAAAATTCAATGCTGTATTACATGAAAGATTACCGATACTCTCAAGTAATTGTAGCTTGAAGAGTACTGCGCGATAATACTAGATGGTTCCCTATGGTGTTTTTGCAGAACAACCTAACTTAGGTATACTCAAGGATTAGCTCAAGCTGATAGTCCCCTTGGTCGCATTTCTGAAACTTGCATATGTCGCCCTCGGCTCGTCCCAGCCCTTCTTAATTCAGGAAGCCGTAAGCTATTTGCAGATTGCAGAGAGTGGAGACAATGACGTTGGTCTCAGATTATATTACTAACCTCGCAGTACGCGGAGAGCCACCCGGCTGGCGACCCCCGGAACTGACGGATTGGTTGAGATTTCTTTCGGCTGGCACCCCATCTATGCTTCTTCAAATCGAAATTTCAACACCTCACCCAAGAGGATTCCATATCATAAATTGAATTTAGAATTCTACTAATCCGGGTTTGGTAGGGGACGTTATTGGGGCGACGGTGTAGGTGTGGCAGGCTGGCTATGATCTATAGGATTACAATTATTGTTAGTCAGGTTTTATACTGAGCTAACTCTTCTCGTGGAAATATGTCCTTCGAGCAACGTCCTCCCTTCAGGTGACGCGCTCTCTCTCGGAACCTTCAATTGCAGTCTAGATTGTGTTCTGATGACCAATCCCTCTATATGATTCAGTATTGATGTTATCCATTTCTTCTGAGGGCCATCTCGTACAACGGGCTTAAGGAGCAATAACTATTAAGAATTGATAGATGATATTCGATGATACCATCGATAATATGGACGTTAGATTATGGCAAGACATGCTTGGTGTAATCACATACAAGACGTTTTTGAAACTTACATTCTCCCTAGGTGTCACCTTTACGAAAGTCAACCTAGAATTCGGTATAACATGGAATGATTACCAGTGTGGGCCCGACCAATGGCGACGCTACAATTCAATCCTGGTTCAATTCCCCAGAGGAGGATAATGGCACCAGAGGTAAAACTAATTGGCTATCTCTGGGCCGACAAAGCCTCCGCTATGCGATATTGAGAGGGAATGCTACGTTTGAAAAGCAATCGTGTCTCGAGATGGGGTGACGGAATGTACGTGGCAGACGATTCATATGTGTAAGTTGCCTCGCTGCCAATGTTATAATGCAGTATGAACTAAGTTTTATACAATTCAAGGGCTGAATTTTTCGCGATATGGGGAAGGGAAGATGAGCCTCCAGATCGATGTATTGTTTCAATCTATACAAGGGATTGTAAGACATTTGAGAGTCTAGGAAAGGCAGGCATTTTCGTCTCAACGAATCCTACTCTTTCATCATCTTGCTTACAATCCTCCGCCCTTAGATCTGGGTTCCAGAATACAGGATGTTCAGCCGAATCGACAACTTACAACAGACAGATGAGAAGACGGCGAAAGCCAACACAAACTCGACAAACAGATCACAAAAAGATTCAATGTAAAAAAGCCGTTCATTCTCTTCTCACGGCACCATCGTATGGAGACTATGAAGTTTCTACCAGAGGGGACAAGGTTCAACGAAATGGTCCCATATCCAAACATTCAGGATGCGCTATTTTTCGGTGAGCCTTTTCCCGTTAATGATTTCGCCTCAGACAGAGAGAGAGGTCGATGGAAGAATGGGAGATGGCATCATTATACAAAAGAACTAAATATCGCCATAATTCCTGAGACAAGAAAGGACTTTGTGGCTCACAAAGAGCATTTAAGCTGAAATAAGTAGAACTAAATTACTTTTTTTTTTTTTTTTTTTTTTTGAATATTTCATTGCTACAAGTTGTGGAGTCGTTACTTTCAAGGCAGCCAAGTGGCTTGTCATCAGGTAGGTGCCTAGGTTCATAAGACACTATAACTTGCCTGGGTTATAGTATTGTTACAGGGCATTGACTATCAAGACCAGGGGTTATTATGTGGACGGCATGTCTCTAGTGTGGAAGAGGTGGTTTTCGATGTATATCGGGCTATATGTTCATAACAACAATCTCTCAGCACGTGCAGACAACGCACGAATACGCGGGTAGGCTCTAGGTTGTAAGGAAACGGATGTATACTGCCCTACGTATAGTTCTATCTACACAGAAGTCAAAGCCTCTCGTAGTAAGTTTCGAAAGTGATTGCAAATCACCAATTTCCTACTCAAAGTTGAGTGGTAAAGCCCTTGTACTGGTATGCCGTTTCAGGAGACGAGTCTGCGTTCGCGACGAAACACATATGGTCTATGCCACCCCGAGAGTCGATTCCCTCTCTCACGCGCTCTATACCCTAGTGATAGATCTAAGCAACACATCGCGGTCCCATAACTCAGTTGGTTAGAGTGTCGTACTAATAGTATACTACCAAGTATTTACATTGGTCAATGCGAAAGTCGTGAGTTCAAGCCTCACTGGGACCAACCAATTGATCTTTTTCTATTTTTTACTCCTTTTTATCTTATTGACACTTCCAATAGTGCGTGAGGATTGACTAAACCTTAGTTAGGGCTAATCAGAGTTAGCGTTAAACGTAACGACAACTAAGATCTAGATCCGTGATCGCACCAACTCTGCGGGGTCCATAACAGCAAATAGTTAGGTCATCACAATTAGTCGCAGCTAAATAGATATGCCGTGTCAATTCATTGCAAAAGCCTCTATCTAACCTTGGGCGTGGAGAGCAGCTAAAGAGTCGCTAGTATATCCAGTATGTAACGGTAATAATCCTCTGCCACTGACACTACGTAGCAGTACATCACACCTCTCACTTTCCGACCTTGAAACACACACCAACTACTTATTTCGAGTCCCAACACAACGCGAAATACATTGTTTATACACTATATACTCACATAACATATGATGTTCAACGCTTCACTATATCCCCACAGTCACCGGCCTCGACTATCTCCTAACTCTCTCGCCAATTGGGCACCGAGAACCTATTCTCCGCTAGAACACCGACCTCCGCCAACTATGCAACAATGACTATTTCAACCCCAACCCGAAGCAGACCCAACAACTCCAGCTAATGAGCGCCGGCATATTTTAGACGGCTCTTTTATTTATCCCCTTCTAGCTTCAGTCGCCAACAAAATGCCACATAGCGTATAGATCTTTCGCCTCTCAGCTCTGTCGCGAACGGTTCCGAGAAATCAAGGCCGCATGTATGTACGTATAAATATGCAAATTGCCTTCTTTTCCTTCTCCTGTAGGCACGTAAATGCCTATCCCTTGCCTAGCTTACTAAACTCCCCTCCCCACACCCGCACGCTCCCCCAGGAAGCTACTGCAGCTTTACCCCCTGCCGCGCGAAGAGCAGCCGCTCTTGGCGGCTGCGTGCTATATTCGCACAAGTCGTGAGCCGACCAGCGGCCGCATCTATGCCGCCGATCCGCTATACGTAGAGGCAGATCCCCTAGCTCATCTCTCAGACAGGTCTGAGTCTTATCCGCATGATCGGCGGACAAGCCGATAGTGGAAGTAGTGACCTAGATATCTCATTCCAAGATCCTGGATATTCGAGAGGTGTATATCATCTGGAAGATTGGCGCGGGTAGTCTATAGCTCCTGAATATGCGTGGAACCTATTCCAGACCGACAAAGCTTCGTGGTGGACATGGTATATGTGGCGATCATCGGGCGATGACTGGTCGCGTTGGTTTCTCGGCGCCCCGGACTTGGTAACCTCTAGCAGTTCTATCGATATGTACTCTAGGTGATACCTGTAGAGATCTTTTCAACCATTCCAAGCACACTATAATCCCTGATATCTTGGGCTTAAAGCGCGTCTCGTATGTAGCATAAGAATCTCGAGATGATCAGATGGATACTTTAGGCCATAGAAACCGACTTTAGTATCACGTCTTGAAAGTAGGCCTAGGGTGGAGGAGAGGCAGTATTTTGTGCTTATCCTACTACCACTCCCCCTATCCTCAGTGTTGAGTCTAGTCGTGCACGCCAGTCTAAAGACACCATTATACCGTCATTGGTGGGAAGTCTGCGCTTAGCCATTCTTGTGAAAACCACGAGGCAGATTCTACTCCGGTATTGCCATATGACTCGAGAGCAAAGTCGAAACCATCCATGGCGCCCTCGAAAGCATTATTGTTATCTAAACCATCAGGCGGGACAACAGGGGGTAGATTTGGTCTGGCCATCGTAGGATCGTTGACTGCAAGGTCTGAGAAGGACGGATCGCGTCTGTGTTGCGGCGGAACAGGTGTAGTACCAGATAGTGGTGTATGTATTCCGCCATTGTTGGTAGTTAATCCAGGCGACGGCATATTGACGGTTGGAGATGGTACTGGGACCATGGGTGCTTCACCTTCATCTAGGAGATGTATGTGCTGATTCTGATTGACGACTTGGCGTGACAAGGGTGGTTGGGATACAGCACCCGTACCCATGACTTCAGGGGTCTCTTGACGACTTGGGCTAGCGCTTGATGTGAGACCACGCGAGATGAGCTTCTCGAGATCAGAAACCTAGGTTGAAATTATCTAATTAGTACATCGGGATAAGCTACGGATTAGCGTTTGAACTTACAATTGCAGCACCAGCGGGAACATGATTCATCGCTCGGGCAATCTGTAAGCACCGGTTCCCATGCTCAATTACTTGGTCCATAGTTAACCGCAGCTCGCTCTTATTTGTTTGGTAAGCAAAGTAGAGCATTCGTGCGCATTGGTAAGCACAAACGGAAAGATCGAGGTCCGTAACAGGCAGTCCGCCATCTAAGGCGAGGATGAGCCTAAAAATCTCAACCATGGCGATAGCGTGTTCAAAACACTGACGTGTACAGTAAGACACGAATTGCGGTTCGAGGCGACTGACACCGGACCTCGGGAGGGCCTCTTTGAGGCCACTTAACACGATGCGGTAGAGGTCACAATGACACTGCCGCCACCAAACATGGATCATGATATATACGCATAATCGTGGGGAGTAAGCTCGTAGTTGGAGGTTACTCTCAGAAAATTTGAAAGAGGCAGGCAGGTGATCATTGAAGGTATCCAGCTCTCGTGAGAGTACTTTGATCAACTGTGGCAGCTGGGCGACCTCGGACTCGGGCATGTTTAATATATTCTTAGTACAATACGATACCCTGCTCCTCATCCACAAAAGCCGCACGTGCAGGGCCAATGAACCCACGTCGTCGGGGAAAGGTTGTGAAGGAAGTGGTCGGAGATGTCCAGTGACTTGTGGAAGATCAAATTCGAAATTGCGTTCATTGCACGGTAGCTGAATATGCAAAGAGTCAGGGGGGAGCAGAGTGAAATCAGCCTGCCCACCATTGACTCCAGAATCAATCGTGAGAAATGCCCACATAAGCCTTCGCCGCGACTCTCTGGCTAGGAAGCACAAGCTCGGGTTTTCGTAGTTGAGCCTTAGAGCGTAGGCGAAGCGGGCAGCCGTAGCCGCTAACATGAAGGCGCTCGTAAACCTCCTGGAGAGTATACGGTGCTTCATAACGAGCACAAGGGCCTGGATTTTAATAGTCGAGGGGTTTTCGAGGTCTTGCAAGACCATGTTCTGGCATTCGTCGATACATCTGGCACCGTACTCGCGCATACCAGGACCTAAATCTGTGAGCAACGAGGTAACACCGACGAGAGCAAGCAGAAGGGCCCTGTCCATCATGCCGGCATGATAGCGTTGCATAAGGGACGCACGGTGCAGGAACGAGAAAACCGGGACATGGTGTACATGACGGAAATAGTGGTTGAAGGTACGTTGGATGAGACTTTCGTCTGGATATATGAGTCTAATATTCCCCATATTAGCCTTTGCGTACTACGAAGACAGTGGTGCCAGTACACGTACGGATCGAGACCGAGCCTCTTAGAGAGCGAGCCCCCGGAGAAATCGAAGTTCTCATGCTCGGCGCTACCGTTGCGACCATGGTGAGAGCCATGGTGGTCCCTCTGCGTCATCGTCCTCTTCTCCGGGGGCTCTGACGCAACCGATTCATGCTCGGAGTCGGTAGTGCCATGTTGTTGAGTGCTAGTACTGCTGCCGTTGATGCCAGCAGACCGCTTCGTCGGACGGTATATACACTCGATACCTTGAGACTGACATCGCGCGCATTTCGGGGTCTCGCCGGTACACCGCGCCTTTCTCGAGTGGCAGTTCGTGCAAGCCAGCCGCACTCGTCGTCGCGGCAGGCTAAAAGCAGTGATGCTGTCGCTGTCGGCATGTGGCGAGCCTGCGTCCTGGAACGAGCAGGTGAAGCCGAGGCGTTCGCAGTTCTGGCAGATGTCGCGGCGACCATCACACCGCACCTTTCGCAGACGACAGGTCGAGCAGGTCTGGCTGGTCTTCTTGGGAGGGCGGTTGGCCGGGTCGGCGGCGGCAGCATCAGCCGCAACCTCAGCAGCCGTGTCCGCTGCCGCCACCTGAACGCTCATGTGTTCCATGTCCATGCCTCTGGAGGGCTACGGTCACGACACTACTATTCAATGACAACACGAAACCGTCGGTCGGATCTCGCGTGCTCGCTATTGTTAGCTCCCGCATTCGCCGGCTGATACAGTTCCGCCTTGCGATGGGGTCGTAAACGGCATCGGTCCGGACGGGCTCGCTAGGTGGTGGGAGTCGAGTGACGGCGTGTCGTGGAGGATGGCGCAATCGCAGGCATTGGGCGGCGGGACTGAGGACGTTCGCTGGATCGTCGACTTGTCAAAGCGTCAAAAAATGGGAGCGGAAATGGAAGCCGGCAAAGACGGTGGGCGGATAGCGAAGACGACCCATCGGTGACTAGGTATGTATGTACTCACTCTCAGTCCAGTCAGTCACTCAGCGTGTCAAAGTCCCTGCTGTATGCACACTACTACCTCGCTACGACCGGTCAATTTAGTGTGCAGCCACTGGACGGTGGGTGGATTAGTGGATATCTATGGCTATTAGTCGTAGGTACAGTGGGTCATCCTGGTCCACATGAAGTATCAGTACAGCAGTGTGACGCTGTCAGTTCGCCGGTTTCTCAAAGGCCCAACAAGTATTGGATACTTTTCAAAAGGTGCAAGGGTGCAAGCTGGACAATGGTACTCCTAGGCAGAACCTGGAACTGGCGTGGTTGGTTACATCATGCAAGCAAATGTAGGTACAACCTGGTATAGAAAAATGTCTCGAGCTTTTAACAACATCAACCATAACACACATTTTTGAGTCACCTACGCTTCCTCTTCTTCTGCTTGGCCAATCTGCGTCGAAAGTGCCAATCCAAAAAACCGCAATCGGCTAAAGGGTGAATCAAAGGCACGTGGACAACACTCATCCGGGTATACCTATAAGGAACAGCATAAGGGATTTGCATCCGTCTACCTGCAACAGATCTAGATTGCATCGGAGCGATTCCGAGACGAAAGGGAAAAGGGGTAGGACCGTCGGAGCGGTGTAGAAAGGCGCTGGGCAGTCT